GAAAAAAAAAAAAAAAATGTTGTATATGAAATACACAGAAATTCAATAAAAAATATAAAAAAAAGATATGTTAGAAATGCAGTCTATTCCTTCCCTTCCTTGAAGTGATATAAAAAAATAAAGAAAGAAATGATTGGCCAGGTATGGTGGCCCATGTGCCATGTATTGAATCCCAGCTCAGGAGGCAGAGGCAGGTGGAGCTCTGTGAGTTCTAGGTCAATGGCGTTTACATGTTGGCCAAGGCCACACTTTGTGAGACCCTGTCTAAAGACAGAAGGGAGACGACAAATAGCCAAAACATGAATGCAAAGTAGATCTTTTTAATGCAAGTTTTAAAAAAAATCTTGTGTGTACATGTATATGATGTGTATATTTGTGTGGGAATGTATGAACACATGTGCCACGACATGTTTGTGAAATCAGGACAACCTCAGGAGTCTGACTTGACCTTGTTTGAAACCCAGTTTCTTGCTCAATGCAACGTACCCAGGAGAGTCTGAAGATGCTCTGTGTCATCCTGTCTCACTGGGGAGTGCTGGGATTATAGAAGCAAGACTGCACCCAGCTTTACATGGGCTCTGGGGATTCAAACGCAGGTCCTCATGCTTGTGTGAGAAGCGCTTTACCAGCTAAGCCATCTCCCCAGCCCCAAAAGTAGATCTTGAAAAAAAAGGCTACCAGAAAGATTCTATAAAAGTAAGCCACCTTGTCAGTTTCAAACAAGTGACACAGTGTCCTTCCCTATAGTCTGCATGGAGCTAAAGGGGGACCCAGGCGGGACTGAGGTACCCTCACCTGTGAATGCGAACGGTTTTTCCATTTTCTGCCAACGGCCACTGGCGGAGTGCTTCCCATGAGCATCTGTTTCCTCCACGGCGATGATCTCAGACACTGGCACGGAGCAGGCATCTGCAAAGACCACACACTTATGTCCAAGGACTCATCAGAGCTACACGGATGGAGACACCTAACTCAAAAACCTGAGGATACTCTGTTTTCATATTCTCATTAGAAACCCCAAACAGAAAGAAAGCCTAGGGCCAGTGGGGTGGCTCAGTGAGTGAAGGCACCTGCCACCAAGCCTGACAACCTGAGCTGGACTCCAGGGACCCCCGTGGTAGAAGCAGAGAACTAATTCTCACAAGGCATCCACTTGACTTCCACACACTCACTGTGGCATATGCCTCGAGGAACTGCTCAGCCATTTGAGCCACAACTGCTAACTTCTCAGGGCTGGTCATAGCACAGTGTGAGGAAATGTGTTCTGGACAAGTTCTGTGTTTTGAGGGCAGAGACTGATGCGGAAAGCCATGTGAGGTGGGGCACAGAACAGACTGAGGGCCACCAAGTGTGCAAGCCAGGCAGGGCCCCACCTAGGGAGAGGGTTCTAGAAAGGCTAGAGTCTGATTCGATGCAGCAAGATGGGATGACGTGGATGGCTCTAGAGGATGATATAGCTCCAGGCATTCTCTGGGTACTGTTTCGCTGTTTTAAGTTAAACAAGGCTAGCCACGGACACTGAATCCTCCTGCCTCTGCCTCCCAAGTGTTAGGGTCACAGGTATGTACCATCACACCTGGCGCCGGATGATCTCTCAAACACTGAAGCCCCAGGGAGAGGCAGACTGACCCAAGCTTGCCCAAGGCATGCTGTAATTAGCAAATTTCAGATCAAAAGAAAGTTCTGGGCTGGGCGCACAGCCCTGGAAGATGACAGGCTGTGACTGATTCTGTGGACTACAGGAATGTGCCTGGATGGGCAGAGGAGATTACAGACAGCAAGACTCCCTTTGAACACTGGATTCTGAAAAGCTTTGCTATGAATCACAGAATATTTTTACACAGAACATTATTATGTGCTAGCTTCCAAACACGGCAGCGTAGCTACAGTCCTGCATCTCTGTAAGAGCTTAATGAGCAAACCATGTTGCGCAGCCCCTGTGGCCCTCTGCCTCATTTTTCAAGCTGTTGCTGTGGAAATTGGGTCACTGGACCCTGGGAAGTTGGGGTCTGAGCCATGAAAGGATGGCAGTGGTATTCCAGAGCTCCCAGGGAACGCATGCTGGGGAGGAGTCTGCGGAGAATCAGGCCTAAGGGTCTGCGTGGAACCTGCTGGTGGTACGTGGGTTTGAGGCCTCCCTCAGCCCTCCCTGCGCAGGCTGAGGTTCCCGATTTCTCACCACCATGCCTCCAAATTCAGTTTGTGCCTGGTCTTCTTTCCTCCCGAAGACACCCCATAGCTCCTCGCCATCCCTAAAGAGGTGGTCCTGTGGGCTGTGACAGGCCTTCTGACACCCCCACACCTCCACCACCGCAGCCAGCATTCCGACATGGCCCCTCTCACTGACCACATCTCACTCTCTTAACCTCCCACCCTCTTTCTAGAGGTGCCGGCCTGGCCCTGGTGGAGCACCGCCAAATCCCACACCACCTGACCCTGCGTTAAAACCCCTCGACTGTCCGTTTCCTGAAACACCAGGAGGTGACAGAGGCGTATTTCTTTGCATCAATGACCTCTTAGGCTCAGAAATAGGGACAGGAGGCAAGTGGCCTTGATAAAGCAATCTATGCCGTGATTTCCTGGACCACTGAGAGCGGACTTCAGCATCTCCTGGCATCTCCGTGTCATTATAACTGTGACTGGAGGTAAGAGACAGGTGACAGAAGTCAAAAATGCAAAGCTGAGTGGAATAACGTAAGCTCCTGATATCCTGACGACTGATGTATTTAAGACGCTGCGCAATAGAGAAAGGCAACGGTCACGTACCACACCACAAAATAACTAAAAGGCACCAGAGACTCACGGGACAACCCCCTTCAGACTGTGGATGAATCATGCTCTGTCTTGCAAATTCAAACCCACACTTGAAGAATGTGGAAATGTGTCACATGCCCTCCTGGCCATACGCCAAAGGCCACGCTGCACCAGAGACAGCACAAAGCCCACGTCTCTCCCACAGCTGTCATAGCATGCAAGTTGCCGCCAAGGCTCACGTGGCATGGGCATTGTCCCTCTGTAGGCCAGAGCTCTGAAAGCAGCATTGCTCAGACACCCACAGTCACAACCCGAGGGCGGACTGGGAGGCAGAAAATAAAGAACTGTCAGGAAGGCCAGCCCTGCAGGAAGGCGCTGGGGAGGTCTCATGGTCAGGCAAATGTTTCAGAGGTTCTGAGAGAGCTGTGGGAACCAGAGAGCAGGCCCGAGAGGCAGGATCCAGGGGAAGTGAGCGGAGGTGGCGAGAGGCACAGGGACAGAAGGATGCAGGAATGGAAATGCCATGTGGGGCCCGAGACTGTGGGCCAGGTGGTGGCCTTCCTCAGAGATGGGCCTCATAAGAGCTGTGAGCAGAGCGGTGATATCTGACCTGGGTCTGACACTGAATAACTGAAGTAGGGGAGCCCAGTGGGAGAGAGTTGGGGTTTGATCCCCAGTACTGCCACAAACAATAAAAATGTAGAGGTTGGCGGGGTGGCCCGGTGGGTAAAGGTACCTGTTGCTACCTTGATAATCTGCATTCTAACTCCAAGTTATCCTCTGACTTCTAGACAGACAGACAGACAGACAGACACTCACGCACACACACACACACACACACACGTGTATGTGTAACAATTTTTGAAAGAAAGCAAGGTGCTGGAGAGCTGGCTCAGTGGTTACAAGCATTGGCTGCTCTTGCAGAGGACCTAGGTTCAGTTCCCAACATCCACATGGCAGCTGACAACTGTCTGTAACTCCAGTTCCCAGAGATCCAGTGCTTTCTTCTGACCTCCGTGGGCATTGCACAACACAGGTGTACTTATATACACACAGGCAATACACTCATATATGTAAAAAAAATAAGTAAAATATTTAAAAAAACTTTGGAGGCTAACTTACTGAGGCCAGGTGGGAATTCAGGGGCCTCTCCTTTCCCACAGAACACTAATGTTTCAGGGTCCCCACCTACTGCCAGCAAAGTTAGAGGACACAGAGACCTAAGATGAGAAGTGGGTTCTACGCTAACCAGCTTGGGCCCAGCCTGAGCGAGGGCAAGCTCCTGTACAGGGAACTCCTGCTACGGCAAGGAAGGAGAGGAGGAGGGAGGAGAGAGAAGCGAAGGCTGGGACACAGCTCATCTTGTCGTAGCACGGTGTCCTGTCCTGGTCTGTCCGCGGTCTCAGCACAGTAACTCTGAGCTGTGCCCACATCAAGAACAGTAAACTCCCCTCCAGGCCCTGCAGTCACACTGAGGGACGGCCTTGGAGGATGAGCAGAGAATGCCCAAGACACCAACTGGATGACAGATGCTGTGGTTCTGTGTCTCTGAGTGACATCCCCCCTGTCCTTGGGACCAAACCCAGATCCTGTCAGGTGGCTCCTGCCTGTCCCCTCCCAGGCACCACTGTACCCAGCTTAGACTGCTGCTCACTGTGCAGGTCACATACCTGACCTGGGACACACAGCATTGCTCCTGAGCAGCCCTGCCCACTCTTTTCAGAGCTCTGGGTGTGGCCCCAGCAGGGCTTGGCCTGAGTCCAGCTTTGGCCTCTTCACAGCCAGCAATGGTTTTCAAATTATTCCACACACCTCACCAGAAGGTCTAGTCGTAACTATGAAGGCCGCCACCACCATGGCAGGTGCACTACTCAGAGCTCTTGGGTGTCACAGCCTTCACCTTATAGGTGATGTGAGGACACAGGCACTCAGAAGTCACCAACTTGTCCAAGTCACAGCCAGTTTCAACTCCTGGCACCAGCTTTTGAGAAATTTACCAAGTGCCCTTTTATTTCAGTGCCTAGAGCCTAGAGCTCCACCTGCACACCACACCGCCCCCACTGTACTGGCCAAGTCACCATTTCCCATAGGCCCCTTCCAGACAACTCTTGTACAGCTTATCACCAGCCTGCCACAGCTTCTGTGTCACATGGGCAAAGCAACTCCCAAGTTGGCTGAGGAAAAAGAAGTTTTCAAGGGGTCTGAGGAGATAGTTCAGTCAGTAGAGTGCTTGCTGGACAGGTATGAGGACCCAAGTTGTATCCCAGCACCCGCTTTAAAAAAACAGGTATGGTGGCACATGCTTATAATCCCAGGACTGGGGAGGCAGAGGCAGGACAACCCCTAGGGCTCAGAGGCCAGTCAGTCTAGATTCATCGGAGAGCTCTAGGTCCCAGAGAGAGACCATTCTCAAAAAATAAAGTGGAGAGAAACTGAGGAAGATACCTGATACTGACTTCCGGCCTCCACACATGCACCTCCCAATGAACACATGCACACACGCACGCACGCACACACACACACGCGCACACGCACACACATGCACACACACACGCGCACACACACACGGGTAGAAGTAAAGTACTGACTCCAACAAAGGGTCCTCTGACACGCGCACACACACACACGCACGCACACACACACACGCACACACACACATACACACACATACACACACACACGCACACACACGCGCACACACACACACACACGCGCACACACACACACACACACGCACACACATCACGCACACACACACGCACACACACACGCACACACACACATGCACACACACATGCACACACACACACATACACACACACGCACGCACACACACACACACGCACACACACACGCACGCATGCGCGCGCACACACACACACACACGCACACACACACGCACACACACACACACACACATCTCCCATGCATGTGCACACTACACAGATTTTGTTTTCTAAACCGATAGTCTAGCTGGCGAGGACAGTAAACAGTGTGAACGTCTGTACTTGGAAAGGACTTAGGGTTTTGTTTATGGGGATTTTTTTTTTTTTGAGACAGGGTCTCCCTGTAGCCCCAGCTGTCCTGGAACTCACTATGTAGACCAGGCTGGCCTTGAACTCACAGAGATCCGCCTGCCTCTGCTGGGATTAAAG